ACCTCTCACTTCCTAGCATGGCGCGTATAACGCCGGGAAGTGAGAGGTCGTCGCCGATCGCCGCCACCAGGGTGCGGCGCTCTTCTGACCAGGCGCAGCACACTTCCAGCGTGTGCTGCGCCGTATCTTCCGGGTCGCCGCACCCATGGCACAGCGCCGTCTCCTCCCTTCCAATCCTCCACAGGTACCGCCCGAAACAGCCGTGTCCGGACAGCACCTGTGTCAGACGGAAGGTGAGGGACCCGTGGCTCCTCCCACACCATTCCGGGAGCTGTGGGCGTATGGCCTCTATGGTTCGCACGCCATATTCGGCGTGCATAAGGCCACTCGCCCAGAGCTCCACGGTCGTCCTCCTCCTCGCCTCCCGGGCACGGGAGAGCTCCTCCGGGGCCAGTACTTCGCCCCGGGCTCTTTGTTCCGCCCGCGCCCAGTAGGCTTCAGCCAGCACTCCCGCCTCTATTTCCCAAGGCGGGGTGCCGGCCAAAACGCAGGCCGCCGCGTGGCCTACCGTACGGTAGGCCCGGCAAGCACGCGCCGCAACAATGCGTTGCGGCCTGCGGAGGAGGGCCCTGTTCGATGCGTTGAGGGCGTCTGCCCATATTGGCGCACCGTACAGGGCCATGCTTCGGACGACCGTGGTGTACAGCAGCCTTGCATGTACACCCGGACCTCTGAGGTTAGGGAGGAGCCTCGCAAGGGCTGAGGCCGCGCCCACGAGCCGGGGGGTCAGCGCTCGGAAATGGTCCCCGAAACGCCAACCCCCGTCGAGGACAAGACCCAGATATTTTATCCGGGCCTTGACCCCGATCTCGTCGCCGTTGACCCGGAGGGTGGCCCTCGCAGGTACCCTCCACTTCGGAACGGTTTTAAAGCCCTCAGAAAAGCAGTAAATCGCATTAACTTTGAATTTATTAAATGAAAGGTTTTCAGAAGTACTAAAATGTCGGTTTTCTTGACGCCTTTGTAATTACTGATACATTTATTCATAGCCTTGGAATAGGGTAAAGGTCAGGACACACCATTATATCATAGTATCCAAATGTTATGTCGATAATATACTTTGCACTAAAAGAAAAAAATTGTGTAATTACTTTTTTTTTACATTCGAAAACCGCTTTGATAATTTTTTGTAGTCACTTAATGACTTTTTTAAAGCGATAGGATGCAATAGTTTTTTTCAAATTTTAATTTGCCGTAACAAGTATGTATAATTATTTTATAGTTTATTTATAAAACAAATGTTATTGTAAATTCCATTATTAATAATTGTGGAACATTTTTAAGAATCCAAATCCTAAAGTGCATTTCTCATCCGACATCCCCGTTGCGGCAAGTATTCTATCTCTGGCAGCATTACCACGGCTTTGCCTTCGACAAGAGAGAATTATACGACCTCCGCCGACTGCCAAATGTATTGTGGCTCGAAAAACACACCAATACACGTAGATTAAGGGTAACTATAACAAAACATTTTTAAGATAGAAACGTATTTACGTTGTGAAACACAGAAAATGATGATATAAATAATCGAAAATTATATAATCTTCAAAAGTTAAATTGAAATTATTCGTTAACATGTACTTTTTTAATTTTATTTCTTCATTTTATGTAAGCTTTTTTTATAATTTATTACAACAAAAGATTTTATGTTTTTGATTTTTTTTTATACAGTAATTAATAAATAAAAATTAAAGATAAGCAACTTGTTTTTCAATTTATGATACAACGTTTATATCATCGAAGAATAAAATCGTCAGGAAGTCTAATCTGTGAAACTTTGTCCAATTTAATAATTTAATTTATTGCTTGTTTAAATATTACACTAGAAAGGTTATTTTCGATCTTTAATTTCTTCTGAGTTACTTTTTAATCTAAATTTGTAGGAAAAATTCCATTTGTACCGTCACGTTCTAATACTCAGGATTCTTGTTATGTGTAAATCGCGTGAGAGACGAAAACAAACTCAGTTTCACAATTGCTAAGAAACACCTTCGATCCTTTTAAAGTACTTTGTAAACACATTTCAAGGGAATACTCAAATTTAAACCACAGTCCCGATTAAATAAAACTAAAATAATACTCACAAAATGTGCTACCGAAGACAGACAATTTTGTGATACTGAGAATTTATTTCTTCTTCTAGCTCTACAGCTCTTTGTAGGCCTCGGTATATCTTTTTCTACTCTATTTTTTTCTTGATACATCTTTTACATCTTGGGCTTTACGGCACAATATGGGCCAGAGTGATAAAATAATGTATAAGCAAATCAAAATATTATTAAATTAAATTATTTTATGTTGTTTTTCCTCAAGGTTATCTCAATTAAATAAGACAAAAATGTATACAGTAAAATAAAATAAAAAAACATCTTTGTTTACATGTTAAATTGTATCCAGTCACCTATTAAAAATCCCCACTTTAATAAACATTTTATTTGCATAAAAATTCGAGCTATGAGAATGGCTCTTCAGTATAATATAGACTTTCACTATAACAAGTTCTATAGGATTAAAATCTTTTAAGAAACATGTATATGGAATATTACTTTGCATTCAATTTGATGCTTATCATTTTTGTTTTTATTCTGTGGACTTACTGCAAACTATCAGTTGGTATTTGCAAATGCAAGAATCATTTAGTTGGAAAGGTTACAGTGATAACAGGCGGCTGCACTGGAATTGGTTTTGAAACAGCAAAAGATCTAGCAGAAAGAGGTGCCAGAGTTATTATAACTGACATAGATGACAAACGAGGAATCAATGCTAAGAATGAGATCATTGCAGCAACAGCGAATAACGATATCCACTATCACCACTTGGATCTTGCTTCTTTTAAATCTATAAGAAAATTCGCAGCAGAAATCCTTACTCAAGAAAAACGACTAGATATTCTTATCAACAATGCTGGTATGTTCGGTTCAGAAAATGTCAAAACTGAAGATGGTTTGCTACTTGGAATGCAGGTCAATTACTTTGGACCATTTCTTCTAACTAATCTTCTACTACCTTTACTGAAATCATCAAAACCCAGTCGTATAATCAACGTGTCATCGATGATAAGCTATTTCGGTACAATAGATCTTCAAAATCTTAATATGGAAAAGGAAACTTCTGAAACATACAAAAGAGAAAAGGTTTATGCAAATTCGAAACTTTGCTTAATTCTTATAACATACGAATTAGGTCGAAAGTTGAAAGGCACCGGGGTGACTGCTAATTGTTTACATCCTGGAGTATCCCTAACTGAAATGTCAGGAAATACCAATATAGCATTGATTGCGTATTCTCTACCATGGTTAAAGCTGTTTTGGAAAACAAAGTGGGAAGCGGCACAGACAAGCGTATACTTAGCAGTGTCGCCAAAAGTTGCCGACGTGACTGGAAAATATTTCAAAGATTGTCATGAATCGAGTGCACTTGCTCGGCAAGCAAAAGATACGGAATTAGCACATAAATTGTGGACATTAACTGAGGAACTCGTTGGGATGTGAATTGTGATTTTAGGAAAGTGTTTGTGATAGTTTCGACATAATACGTTCATGTGGTATTTGAGAACTGATGTGTTAAGGTATAATTCATTACTTCTCTTAATAATATTAACTTCTTCTAAATAAGTAAATCTACATTATCAGCAATCTACATTGATCGTGTCATGCATAATTGCATAGCACAAAATTTACGGTCATAGCTTTTTGTTTAGTTGCAGAAAAAATATGGGGTTACCCAACATTTTAATAAATAAGTATTTGCTATTTATTTCTGTACTCATTATTGATCAAACTGGTATTATTGGGCGCACAAAAGGAAAATAAAAGTGAATATGTGCATAAAATCTAATGATCTTCAAAAATAAATATATTGCGCTAAAACAATTTTATGTTTTATACACCTTCCAACAAAACCTGTTAGTTACCGTTCAATTTATCTACTATATTTATTATTATATAATATTAAATGGCAAAAGAGCAAGCGGCTCTTTGGTTTCACCGAAATAACGAAGCGACCGCTGCTCATTGACGTCCGCAATTGCAGTTTACGACCTTTTACCTTTAATCGACGGAGGCTACCCAGAAAAGGAATGTTTCCCCTTCCTATGCGTCCCCTTCTCCGTCAAAACCACTTCCCCTTCCCATCCTCTATAATAAACGACACGTGTATTTCTAATAAATAAAAATATTAATAGATATTTTTAATAGTTAGCAACGTTTAGTTTAATCAATTAGCTTCATAAAATAAACCAAGCGTTAAGTACAAAGACATGTATAATTCATTTTTAATATCTTTGAATATATAATTTAACAAATATTTTGTAATAAATTTAAACTAACTGAATTACATGAACACCTCTCGTATCGGAACTATAGTTTCAAAATACTTATATGATGTTTCATTGGCATGATTCAGAACTCATGCGGAAAATTTATTTAGCAATGACTATTTAGTTAGCGACTTGCTGCCGTCGAGGAATCATGTTAATTTTGTTATTATTATTTGTTTTTGTGTCGGTAATAGCGACATGGGCATACTTCAGACTAACTCTCGGTATATGTAAAAGTAGCCGTCATTTAGTAGGCAAAGTGGTTATTGTGACTGGAGGCAACGCTGGAATCGGATATGAAACAGCAAAAGACTTAGCAGATAGAGGAGCTCGTCTTATAATCGCCTGTAGGAATGAGGGACGTGGTACATCCGCCAGAGACAGCATCATCAAGGCAACCGGTAACAACAACGTACATTACCGGAACCTAGATTTGGCATCACTAAAATCTGTGAAAAAATTTGCTGAAGACTTCTTAAAAACCGATAAACGTCTCGACATACTTATCAACAATGCTGGAGTATTTGCATCGGATAATGTCAAAACCGAAGACGGATTATTATTAGGAACGCAAGTAAATCATTTTGGGCCTTTTCTCTTGACATATTTGCTATTGCCACTACTAAAATCATCGGCGCCAAGTCGTATTATTAACGTATCTTCGATAGCATATGCAAATTGTGATATGGATCTGCAAAATTTGAATGCTGAAAAAGAAAATGAGAAGACGTATAAAAAGATAAATTTGTATGGAATGTCAAAACTTTGTAACATTCTTATGGCAGTAGAATTAAGCCGTCAACTTAAAGGTACAGGAGTGACAGCCAATAGTTTACATCCAGGTTTAGTAAGGACAGATATACTTTACGACATTAATGTTTTCGGTTTTCAATTGTTTTTACCAGTGATAAAATATTTTACAAAGTCTGCATGGGAAGGTGCACAAACGTCTATATATCTGGCTGTTTCGCCGGAAGTTAATGACATATCAGGAAAATATTTTGTGGACTGTCGTGCTATGAAAAATGTGAGGAGAAATGGATATGATTTAGAGTTAGCACGCAAACTTTGGGAATTGTCAGAGAAGTATGTGGGTATCAAAGGAGATCATTAGTAAAATTACACATAATATTAGTGAAAACAATCTTAATGTTAAAAATGTAGTGTTATATAACTTACATAAAGCCAAACTTTAATTGATTTAAACAACAAAAATGTTGTTCCAGTTTTAAATGTCATAATACACCTTTGCCTTTGTTACGCCTTATACGTTTTTGTTAATTTAAATAATAAATTAAAACAAAAACCGATAATTTTTTTTGACAACAGAAATTTTAAAATGTAGATAAAATATATTAAAAAAAAACCAAAACTTCTTGTTTTAATGTTATTTTTTGCAGTCATTGAAAAATAATGCATTCCTATATTTTTTCATTAATTGATAAAAATTGAATACTTTTTTAAATTATTTCTTTCTTTCGCCTAAATTAATTCCGTGTGTTTAGTCAACTGTACCTTTCCTTAATCTAAAGTCCTTTCCTAGTTCTAAAATAGAACGTCCCAATTGATATTCGTTAACAAATCGTTTCGATGTTTAAACCGGTCCGAATTAATACTAGACCCGGTAGTAGCACTGATATCAGAATAAGGTTATTTTCCATTTTTGACATAAAGAATCACAAGACCAATATGAGGCAATATGTGTTGCTAAGACAACATTCCTGTAAGACATTTTTACTCCTGAACAAAATTGTAGGCTTTTCCTCTTGTTATTAAAAAACAAAATTAATAATACGTATCTTACAGGTTTTAAATCAAAGCAAACTTACTTAATAATACAGGATGTGTGGTACGAGAGACTTCTTATTCAGGTATAAAGAGAATTGATGTAATATATACATAACAAAGTTAATTTTAGATTGTCCTATGTCATCATTCAGATTCACTGTCCGTATGTTATAAAAAAATGTATTTATGATTTTATATGTATGTAAAAACTGTTTGCGTCATCATTTTTACAAGCTTCTATTGTTATTTTATATACTCATTTAATTATATAAGATTGATTTTACATTAGCAATTTTTTTTCTGTAGTATAAGGTGGCAAACGAACAGTACAGAACCTTAACTTGCTAAAAAAGCGAAGAGACCGCTGCCCATAGACATGCAAATTTGCAGATACAGGACGTAAGACGCGACGCATAGAAACAAGATATATCCCATTCCTATGCTTCCTTCTTCTGCCAAATCGACTAACTCTTCCTAAAAGAAAAGGACGGGAAAGGGAGTTTTCTCCGTTTCCTTTGTGGTCGTGATATTTCACCGGTCGAGGCGGCCAATCCGTGGATCAGATATGTTTGTTGTTGGCTCTACCATTGTACTTGAACCATTAAATTTGAGCTCTAGGCTAGAGCTAGAAATGGTTTAAGACAGTACCCGAATGGTGGGATTCGAACCATCGACCACGTCATCGAATAACTAGGTTATAAAAAAAATTAAATTTCATATAACTCAGTCAAATAATACTAAATTAATAATACTCAAAAGTAATAAACCTTTTGTATATTTATAAGAGAACAACAACATTAAAATTATAATATAAACTATTTTTTTTTAATTTATGACAAATATTAACAACAAATGGGCCTTTCAAATTTAATTTGTTTTACACTTGTTTCAATGTACAATATTAATTAATTAATTATTATGTTATTTTATCTCGTGCGTATTTTTTCCTCATATGGTTAAGGCGCTGATGGCATTAACGACGTAAGTAGACTAATATTGACGTAACATTTTATATTTAAAGGTTTATTCATAATTTTTTAGAATATCAAGCTAAAAAAACACAATGACGTTAAATACTCACCACTTATTTGTACAGTCTTTATAGTAAATACGTGACATTACTTCGACGAAATGCGTTTTTTTATTCGTTGCTGTTATTGCTATTATCAAAGCAAACTAAGATAAAACTATTATTGTTTTAGATATGGCTTTAGGCAGTAATTCCATATTATTTCTAGATTTTATATATTTTATCCTAATAAAAAAGATTGATTTAATTTATTAATTATAATTTTATTTTACTTTCTAAGGCCATCTGTTAGAAAATAATGACACCAATAAGTCATGTATAAGTTACTAGCTGTCGCCCGCGGCTCCGTCCGCGCGGAATCAAAAATAGATGTCGGCCGATTCTCAGACCTACTCAATATGCTCACAAAATTTCATGAGAATCGGTCAAGCCGTTTCGGAGGAGTATGGGAACGAAAATTGTGACACGAGAATTTTATATATAAGATGATTTTATGCATTAAAAGGTTATTTTAAATTATTCTTTTCAAATTATGACAAGTCTTCATAAGCCCAAGTAGAGCAACGCATTTGTTCGTTAAATGTATCGTAAATCTATACTTACTATTTATATTAAGAAGTAAACAAAACAGAAACAACTATTTGCCTTCTTAACGAATTTATTCCGTTGGGGGGAAACGGGAGTGAAAACCAAATTGTGCAGCTTCGGATGCTGTGCTTAGAAATCTTTTAGAGATTCAATTACTCGTTTGAAAGAAACCTTTTCCCTTTAAAGAAACCCGTTAGTAGTAAAATATTCTTTTCAATTTCAGTAATTGAATTTCTTTGATAGACCAACAACTTTGACTATGCTTAAAGTTATATTTTTCAATATATTCCCTTAGAGATAGAACATAGACTCTGTTAGAGACCGCCAAGCACGTGAGCTTTAACCTATTTTCATTTCGATACACTGATAAGTTGTGTAAACATTTCTCTGAGTATAAAATAAAATAAACTTTAGTTTACATTAAGCAAAGGTGCTAGAACCTTATCGTCTTCAAAAACTTTTTAATACTCTTATTAAATAGTAAAATCTATTAACATAAAAGCCAATTGTCACTAAGTTAAATGGTTCTGTAAGATACGTTATAATCATTTATATAATACAATTCGTATAAAGAAGTCAAACATATAACAGAGAAAATTGGCTCGTTTCTACTACCATACGAAACTTTTCAACTCACTTTCATTATACGCGTACACAATATTCTGTTTGTAAGAAATTCCTCTGCATATAAAACAACTTTTTAAACTTTGAATTAATTTTTGTTTGTTATAATCAACATAATGAATTGTAGCATGATTTACGTTTTCACACATAGAAATTTGTTAAACAGGCAAACTGATATAAACATAAAAATAACAAAGAAACTAGCTGTCGCCCGCGACTCCGTACGCGCGGGATTAAAAAATAGATAGTAGCCGATTCTGAGAGCTACTGAATATGCATATAAAAGTTCATTAAAATCTGTCTAGTCGTTTCGGACGACTATGGTAACTAACTGTAACAGGAGATTTTTATATATATGATAAAATTCGAGTAACGAATTATACCGATATATTCAAAAGAAGATAACTTGTTATCCTTAAACAAAACAGCGTTTCAACCGGTCTTAAAGTGGGTTGGATTTTAGCCTCACATAATAAAAATGATAATCCAGCATGTGGATACAAACTGCCTTTCTCTGTTAATTTCAGATTGTATAACAATATTAAATTATAATTTAATATGCAAAATTAATTAGAAAAACTGGTCAAGTGCGAATCAGATTCGCGCCCCGAGGACCTTCTAGGTTCTAGGGTTCTGTTTTTTTCTTATGAGATACGGAACCCTAAAAACTCATACATTCTTGACCATTGATTCTTAGTTCAACTACAGCAAGTTGAACTAAATTTTACTAATATTACATATATAAATTGAAAATTTGATTGTTTGTTTCCTTTGAATAAGATGCGAAGCTACTGAACCGATGGAAATATAATTTTACTATTAGAAAGACACATTGTCCACGGGTGACGTAGGCTACAATTATTACTAGATTTTTTAATTCCGTGCAGACAAAGTCGCGTACAACTGCTAGTATGTTCAATAAAAAAGTACAACAAAACTGTATCATATGAAATGGTAAAAGCTTAACTTGCGAGCTTAAGATAAGATATCATAAATCACTTTGATGTTGGCTTAGAATCTTGTCTTTTGTGTTCCAAACTTTGTACGCTATGAAATATTGCCAAAAGTTACACAAACATCTCCTAAAGTGTGCTGTTGAAAATATATAACGCAATGGACTTGGACAGCGCACTCGCAGACGAAGATGCAACTTCAGGGCTTAGTAAGCAATTTATGAATGCACAATACAAACACACGAAAACTCACAACAGTAATTTTGTTATTAAATTAATGACATATATGTATGTATTAATTAGATACTGTTGCCATTTTCATTACGAATTAATTCATATATCACGAAACGCGTAGTCATTTAATAAATTATGACAAAGAAATATATTTCAATTTTTTTTTGATATTTTTTAAAAAATTACTCGAAAAATATTGTTTATTTAAAAAATCTACCAGACCTCCTCGAAACAAACAAAATTTTGGCGCAATAAATAATTTAAAACCTAAAAGGTGTTGACTCAAGGCCGTACGGAGCGGCGACATTTACAGACCCAGAAATGTTGAAAGGGTAATTAATGGATGAATAAATTGTAAAATGTCTTCCTATATTCCTTATAAGAAAAGTGTTATCTTTTCATCGATATCAGAAATATTTTATGTAATAAAAAACACATTTTGTATCGTGCAATTACGGTTATTGTTGTTAAGAATGCGACACCGCCAGCATTCTGCTTCAGCAAAATAAAAGCGCTCAGTTTGACAATGGCCGCTTTAAGTACACGAAGATGTAACAAGGGCGCTTCCATTAAAACAATATCCTATTTCAATGAAACTATCAAAACTAAAGTGATCTATTGTACCATACGTTTTATACAGAATGTAATAATTTTATATAATAATAATTATAAATGCCTTACTGTTTAAATATATCTCTTTAATGTTACATGTTTCATCATCCTACAGGAGCCTACCCTAAGTTAGGCGTGACTAGGCCAAAGGCCAAATGTGGGTTGGTTGACTTCACCCATATCTTTGAATTTCTTCTCAGATATGTGCAGGTTGCATCACGATGTTTTCCTTCATCGTAAAAACGTCGGATAAATGTGCATATGTAAGTCGAAAGTCGAAAAACACATTGGTACATGGCGGGATTTGAACCCAGGTCCTGCAGATTGCAAGTCAGGTGCTTGACCCCTGAGCCACCGACGCACGACATGTTTAAAGAAATCTTATTTTCATTTCCAAAAATTATTGAAGTTTACTCATTACTCCCATGAAAGGTAAAGCCAGACAAAAAAATATTATCATGTTGCCCTTCGAGTTAACCAATGAGTTTGGCAACGA